TCCAAGAAAGATTAATTAAAAAATAAGTCATCAATTTAAACACTTTAACAATTTTTCTTCTTTGACAGAGTAAATTAAGAGTTACAAAATTGACATTATCAATAAAAGCGGAAAGCATTTTATTTTATTTGGAATTAAGTTTTTTTAATATAAAATAGCAAAAGTAATTACAAAAGCAAAAATAATTACAACATATATATATATATATACAGGGCCTTTCAGAGGTTTGGAATGGCCCCGGCCAGTTAAAAATCGGAGGCCCCAAAAGAAAAATTTGCACAAAACGCAACGCAAGATAATGCAAAGCCATTTAAGGTCAGGACCCAATAAATGTCTAACTTTAAGACTAAATGCAATAAATTAGACAGACCGTCACACACAGATGTGGCGCCTTTTGTACGTTTTATCAAGCCAACTAGCCAAGAGACGCGTCACATTTTGAAAATGAAATCTAAAGAAATTCACTAAAATAAAACAGAATGAATTAGTTTTAATTAATTTTTATAAACGCTTTTCTTTCTTTTTGTTCTGAAAATGCAGCAATTATATTTGAAAAATCTAGTTTTCGTGCAATATCGCAATTTATATTCAAAACATATCGCAAGTCCATTCAACCGTTCCTGACCCATAGTTGAACGATGATAATTTTTTATCTGCTTTAAAACATTAAATGTGCGTTCGCCCGAAGCCGTCGATGCAGGCAAGCTGATAAAATTCGTAATGCAATTGTAATGTTTGGAAAGACACCTGAAAGACCAAATCCAAGTATTTCCTCCAGCAAAATTCTTCCAATTTTTTTGGTGTGCAGTCTAGTTTAAAATTAGCACCATAGATTCTTTTAAAAAATAAAACCTTATTTTCAAGTTCTTGTGATATTTCTTTGTCATATTTGTGCTGAAAATGTTGAGCAGCCAATACAAGATCTTCGTCATTCAAATTTTTAAACTGCGAGAGAAATCCAAAAAGTTTACAAATTTCTTGTAAAGACTGAAACCGTCGCGTGAGGCCAGATTTAATTGAGTCAATGATGACAAAATATACATTGATTTTATAATACAACTCAGCATCATCTTGACTTGGAAAATGACGATTAGTTAAAAACTCACATGAAACACCAATATTTCTTGCAACAAATTTTGACTCATTTAAAATCTTATCAAATTGTTCACGCAACCTTTGAATGTCATTACATAGATTTTCAATGTTATCCTTTTCAATATCAAGAGTGGCATGGCGTGCCTCGATGATTAGATTTGTCTAAGGATTTATTGTGAGTAGCTTCATCCAGATAGACGACATCAAAATGCAATCAAATTTGGAAATATACTTTTGAATAGCATTGAGTTCCATTTTAGCCTGGGCTGTTAAATGTAGCACCCCAAGTTCATTTAAAGCACTTCTTACTGAGTTCAAATGTTGTGCAACTGGTTTAACACTATCAATCCGTGCTGACCATCTTGTTTTGGACATTCCATTCAACGAAACAGGAAGATGTTGTTTTAAAATTGCCCACCTTTGAGGACTGTTACTGAATAAACTGTACATTTGCTGAATTGTTCCAAAATACGTTACTGCTTCTTTGCATGATTCAACGCAATCGACACCAACTAAATTTAATGAGTGATTTCCGCAGCTAGAAAACATACAGTTTGGATTTTGTTGTATCAAAACCGCTTGCACCCTGTTATACTTTCCAGCCATATTAGCACCGTTGTCGTAAGCTTGACCAATGCAGGCTTCCAAATCCAGCTTCAAAGTTTTCAATATTTCTAGTGTTTGAGCAGCGATTTCTCTTCCAGTATTTTTTTGAAAAATTTTCAAATAAAATAAATCTTACTTCAACTGAAAAGTTTGAAATATCTAAAATTTTAACATAACGAATAACCAGAGTAGTTTGCTCCTTGTACGAGCAATCTGGAGTAGCATCAACTATTATTGAAAAATATTTTGCTTTCACAATTTTGTGGAGGATTGCTGTTTGAACGTGTGAACCACAAATATTAATAAATTCGTTCTGAATTCGCATTGAAAGATAATGAGCTTGCATTCGCTGCTAACACTGTTGTGATTCTCGAACATGTTTAACATGATCAGCTAAAAGTGGTTCATATTTGCTAAGAAGCTCAATAATGCCTAAAAAGTTTCGATTCGCTCAATCACTTATTCGTTGGTTAGAACCAAAAAGTGCTAATCCACGTACAGACAGAAAAATAATAACATCTAGAATACGTTGGAACAATTTTTTCCAATTTTCAGTTTCAGTCTTGAGTTTTACAAAACCGAGTAAAGATGAATCAGTTATACTATTTATTTTATAAATAAATATTTAGTTATACCATCCGGCAGAACTAGAGAAAAATGACACATTTGCAGCATTTTTGATAAAAAGAAAACATGGTGCACAATACAAAGATTGTTTTTCAACGCTCCAGCACAACCAGTCTCTTTTGCATGTTTCTCCATTTGCAAGAGTTTTGTTTAAGAAACGATAAGGAAATGCATGATGATTAGAGTCTTTAATGATTTTATTCAAACTTTAATTTCAAAATTTAATTTCAAAACTTAATTTCAAGATTTAATTTCAAAACAAGTAATCTTAAGAAAAGAGTTCACTTGACAAGAATTGTTCTTGTTGATAATCCCAATGTCAATAAAATTGAACGGATTACCTTGATGAATCGGATCAGTTATATCTGTTTCCATATCTCCAATTTTATTTTCACCTGCATTTTCCTGTAATGAGATTTCGGTTTCAACCCGTTCCTGGTTTATAATATTTAAACTTCCTGCTGGTTGTTGTTCCAAAATTGGGTCTTCTGCAATTGAAACAACTATATTTTCAATGTTACCATTGTCACTCACTCTTTGAGTTTGGTTTGCTTATTCAATTTGAACTGTGTTTTGTGATTTTTTTTAAAACGAATATATTTTCTTTGAGTTGGTGCATGCTTCTTCGGCCAATTCTTTTCTCCGCCGCCTTTTACTTGCACCACTAGTGGTGCAAGTAAAATTACTATCGTGGTGCAAGTAAAAGTACTAGTGGTGCAAGTAAAAGTACTACTAATGATAGTACTATCAAATCTTCTCTTCATTTTAATGGTATCTGGAAATAATATTGAAATTTGAAAATATAATAAATTCATACATCAATCGAACTTATACAAATTTATAAAACGAATTATGTTTTAAAATTAAAAAATATTTACTAGAACAAAAAAATATTACTATTCTCAAAGTTACGAAATGTAGCAATGTACAAAAGCGCAATATATCAATTTTATACAAAATGATAAGAAATAATTCAAAACAAATTGATTTAATCTTGTTTGATAAATTACAACTAAAAAATTTAAGAAAAAACGAAGCTACTAAAAAGCAGAGCACTAAGTCATAACTTAAAAACTCGTACGAGTTAAAAGTAATTAGGCTGGGTGAATAAAAAAACGAGCAATTGCTTTTACTCAGTAATTGGTCAGCTTTACGTGAATAAAAGCTTTAGAAATTTTCCTTAAGTTTTTATTTACGTAAAGCTGAACAATTACTGAGTAAATTGCTTAACTTTACGTAAATAAAAATTTGAGCAAAACTGCTGAAGTATTTATTCGCGTAAAGCTAACCAATTACTGAGTAAAAGCAATTGCTTATTTTTATTTACCCGGCCTATTGTATCAATTTGATCAAGCGCGCCCGACGGAGGGTTAATTGCATTATTACATGACGTAATCTTTATCATGTTTTTGAAATGTGTAATTATGAAAAAGAAATTAATTTATTATTTTAAGTTAACTTAAAGTTAAATTGTTTAGAATAATTAGATTAAAATAATTCCTTTGATATTTATTTTCGTGTTTAACAAATGCGTTTTGAAAATGTGAGGCCCCAACAAAATTGGAGGCCCAGGCTATATAGCCATGTGGCTCCCCCTCTAAAAGGGCCTGTATATATATATATATATATATATATATATATATATATATATATATATATATATATATATATATATTTATATATATATATATATATATATATATATATATATATATATATATATATATATATATATATATATATATATATATATATATATATATATATATATATATATATATATATAACATATATATATGTATATATATATATATATATATATATATATATATCCCTTTATTTCCCAGTGACGTCATATGGCGTCATTGACTTCATACAGAAAAAACAGGCATTATGCTAACTATGTGGGGGAAACCTTTGTGCTTATGAAAAAAAGTAGTATTTTCACACAATCTTTGTAAACAATTACAGTTATTTCCTCCACATGGTTAGCATACTACCTATTTTTGCTATGTTAAGTCAATGACATCAAAACATATGGCATCACTGGGAAATAAAGATATATACATATATTTTATTAATGAGTTGCGGAGCACTTTAGTTTGTTCGATGTCATCTCCTGACAGATGATCAGGCCTTAGATCTTCTGAATAGCATTTGAGCTAAAGAATTTGAAGGAAATTTCCCTCAAATATGCATCTGTCGACATATCTTACTTACTTTGCCAATATCTCGTCGCGTTGGTTTGACAAGATTCTAACAGAATTTTTTTATATAAGGAGAATTTAGAAATAATCTTTTAACTTCTTTTAATGTTTAATTAAAATCATTTATATTATTGTTTTTTTATTTGTTTATGTACTCTTTTCTAGTTGATGTATAAAAGAACATAAATAAATAAAAAAATATTGTATAAATATTTTCATTTAAACATAAAAAAATAAAAGGCTTCTTGAAATCTCTGTGCACCCCTGTGTGTGTATATGTGTGTGTGTGTGTGTGTGTGTGTGTGTGTGTGTGTGTGTGTGTGTGTGTGTGTGTGTGTGTGTGTGTGTGTGTGTGTGTGTGTGTGTGTGTGTGTGTGATAATACACACACGCACACACAAAAATATCCGGATATCTACGGATATCCGTGAGTAAAATTAATTACCAAGTAAAATTAGCACGTGATTTAGCGGAACGGACATTAGCGGAAACTAAATTCACAATATGCCATGTTGATAGAAACAGGATTGCTAAAATACAACTCTGTGCAGCTTTGATTTCTAAAATGATTTCTAATTTTACAGATTTTGATATAGATGATAGACTCGTTAAAGCTATTTCCAAGCTTGGATGGGCTACTCCAAGTGAAATACAGAAGCGAGCAATTCCTCCTGCTTTAGAAGGAAAGGATATAATTATACGTGCCAAAACAGGTTCTGGAAAAACAGCAGCGTATCTAATACCGTTAATTCAAAAAATATTGAAGAATAAAGAATCAAACAAACCTAAAACTTTAAGTGTTGTTTTAGTTCCCTCTAAAGAGCTTTGTAAACAATCTTATCGAAATGCGCTCGATCTCACCTCGTATTGTTCTAAACTTGTTTCAGTTGTAGACTTAGGAAATTCCACAGTTCAGAGTTCTTCTTCTTTAATTAATAATGCTGATATTTTAATTAGTACACCAAGTAAAATCCTTGCACATATAAATAATAAAACAATTAATCTAAAAGATTTTTTAGATTATCTTATACTTGATGAAGCTGATATGATGTTTTCATATGGTTATGAGCAAGATTTAAAAACAATTACAACTTCATTGCCTAAAATTTACCAAGCATTGTTAGTGTCTGCAACAATAAGTGAAGATATAAAATGTTTAGAAGCATTAATTCTTAACAAACCAGTTATTTTAAAGTTAGAGGAGTCACATTTACCAGAAAAGGAGAAGCTTAACCAGTTTGTTATTAAATGTGAGTCAAGTGATAAGTATCTTCTTATTTATGCTTTGTTCAAATTAAACTTGGTGCAAGGTAAAACATTAATATTTGTCAATTCTATTGATAGATGTTATCGATTAAAGTTATTTCTTGAACAGTTTTACATTCGTACATGTGTTTTAAACTCTGAATTGCCTCAAAGCTCAAGAATCCACATAGTTGATGAATTTAATCGTGGTGTTTATGATATTGTTATAGCAACAGATGAAGCTGTTGTTATTAATACAAATTTATCAAACATAAATCAGAATAAAGAGAAAACAAAAAAAAATAAAAAAGCAATGAAAACTAAAAAAGATTATGCTGTTGCTCGAGGAATTGATTTTCAAGATGTCGACAATGTTCTTAATTTTGATTTTCCAGAAACTGGAGATGCATATATACACCGAGTTGGAAGAACAGCACGTGGAAATAATCATGGCACAGCCCTATCCTTTGTTGCAAGTAGTGAAGATCAAAAGCATTTAATGACGGTTGAGGAAAAACTTAAAACAGATGTCATTGCTAAAGAAAATGCATTAAAACCGTATAATTTTAAAATTGAAGAAATTGAAGGTCTGCGCTATCGTGTCAATGATGTCATTAATAGTGTTACTCGGATCAAAGTTAAAGACGCAAGATTTAAAGAAATTAAAAGTGAGATTTTGCATTCAAATAAATTAAAAATGTATTTTGAAGAGAATCCAAAAGATCTCAGAGTACTTCGACATGATAAAATACTGAAACCAACTGATCAACAGCCTCATATGAAAGACGTACCTGAATATCTTGTACCTAGTTCTTTAAGACATATCATGGTCAAATCTAAAAGAAAACGTAAGCAATCAAATATTCAACATGAAAAGATAAAAAAGAAAAAGACAGACCCGTTAAAAACTTTTAAATATAAGTAAAATATTTAATATTTTTGTATTTTATTTTTCTTTAGTTTATAATCAAACTCATGAAATGAACTGATGTTTATAGAATAATGTTTGCTAAGGGCGTACTCTCCTATATTTCAGTTTTTTCTCTTGCTTTTATTTAAAATTTTGCAGCTATATTAACTATTTTCATTTTTTAAAAATAAATCTCCACAATTTCTACACCATCTTTTACATATGCAAGAAGCAACAAGAAAAGAAATACTCTATTGATACTATTTGTCTTTTTATTGCAAAAAAATGTCTAGTAAACATTTTTATGTAGAAAGTTTTATTTTTCAATAAAACTAGCAATGCAATATGAAAAATATAAATATCCCAGTTTAGAAATTTAAGGTTTAAGTCTACTATCAAAGTACCCCAAAAAAGTTAATAAAAATAGAAATATATGTGTGTGAACACTTGATTTCCATCTTCAAAAAAATTTGAGAGTTTTATTTTTTTTAGTAAGTTAATATTTTTTAGTAAATTGACATTAAAATATTGCCGAAAATTCACATGTTCATATACTTACTTTTGAAGCTCTGTAATTTTTGTATGATACCTTTCAGAAAGTATAATACCTTTCGGATTTTTCTTAAATAGGTTAAGAAACGTTGCACCAGCTTGAAATTAGTTTAAAAACATGGTATACCGCATAATAATATCATATTATAAATACCGAATAAAATGTTTTTAAAATTAATTGTTTAACAAATATTTTTTAATTTTTTTTTAAATTTATTTGATTTCAGCATGTTTTCAAAATTGTTTTCTGCTGTATATGTTTAATGATTTATTTTTTAAACTAAAGACTTCAGCAGTTCTTTTGCTCTTATGTTTGTTGCTGTACTGCGGGAGTGCTAACCTGTTTATAAAAATATATTATTGAATGAAATATAATATTTAAAAAAATATATTATTGAATAAAAAATAAAAGCATATTAACTGTAAAAAAATCAATATTTCAAAATAGTATTGTACTATGCTTAGTATTAGTATAAAACTTAATTTGTAAAACATACCGAAATTCTTTGTAAAATGTTGATTAACTTCATGTCAGATGTCAATGAGTTTTAGCATTCATGCAACTTCAATCTCCAAACTACGATTGCCATGTTTGAATTGTTTTTAATGGTCTTTTCACAATATTCTAAAACAAGTAATAGTTTGGTTCCCTGAATTTGTTCCTTTGGAACTGCTTGCCCTGTCTTTGGTTGGGCCAAACAGGTTCTCTATAACCTTCAATAATCCTTCACCTATAAATATATACCTACATGCATACATACATACAAAAAATTAAGTTCTACTAATTAGTAGAACTTAATTTAATAAATAGAAGTATTGGTTGTATATATTTTATGGAATTAGACCTCCGCCCCTGGATTGAATTAGCCAAGTTCTAAGGTATTCACTAAATGCTTCTACCTCATTAAAAGGGATCTTTCTGCGAGTTCTTTCTGGAGTACCAAGTGTAACAGGAATACATTTATCTCCTTAATATTAAGAATCTTTATCATAATTAACTTTATTTAAACATTTTTTTTACCTGTTCTGAGAATGGTTTAACCTAGAGTTTGCTCTTGATCAGAATAAATTTCTTTCAGAAGACAAGGCCAACAACACGAGTTTCAAAGTCGGGAGGTACAATCGTCAATTTAATTAAAAAAAAAAACTTTTAGAAAAAAAGTGAGGGGAAGGGGTGGGGGTGGGAGGCACGTGCCCCCCTGGTGTTGTCAGCTCTGGTAGAAATGAGGCTACTTGTTCCTTTATTTTTTTTGAAAACTTTTGAAATACTCTTAATAAGATTTGTGCTAATCCTATAAGGTGAACATTTGTGGATTTTACCTTTTTCAATTTTACAGAGAAATGTTTGGCAAAATTTCAGTATTGAACTAGATCCATGTTTCATACCTTTAATAAAAAATCTAATTTTTTCTTGACTCCATAATGTTGAGCAATCTCTTGAGGTTTGCAAGATAAATCAGCATTTTTTCTATTTAAGAGTAACTGAGACTAAAACACTTTTACCAGTTTTAAATATAAGTTTTCTTTGCAACCAGTGCATAATTATGTAGGATAAGCGAAAACTATAATATAAATACTCAGGCTTACAAAAAATATGAACAAAAAGTTGCAAGTTTGCATTCACTAGAATGAACTTGTAGTTCTTTACAAAGTAACAACAGAAGATGATCTTTTAAAAAAGTATAAGATCACATTTAAAGTTCTTTACTCTTCTTAGAGAGCAGAAGTTTTTTACTCTTCTTAGAAGAGCCATAGAGTAGAAGCCATAGTAGAAGAGTCATAGTAGAAAGAAGTTATAAGAGCATAATAACCATAAAAGATCCTTAGTATTTAATATTATAAATAACTAAAATGAGGAAAAAAAACGCATGATTAGAATGAGAAAAAAATGCACGATTAAAATGAGGAAAAAATGCATGATTAAAGTGAGAAAAAAAAATGCTTGATCAAAATGAGGTAAAAATGCATGATTAAAATGAGAAAAAAATGCATGATTAAAATGAGAAAACAATTATTAAAATATAAAAAATTCTTAAATCTTTCTGCCAAATTATTTTTAATTTTTAAAATATACACACAAAAAAAAAAACTTTTTTGGCAGATTTCAATATCAGTTTTTTGAAAGTATGATAGCTTTTAGATTTTTCTGAAGATGGAAAAGAGGTGTCCAGACAGCCATATTTCTTTTTTTATTAATATTTCCAGACAGCCATATTTCTATTTTTATTTATATTTCCAGACAGCCATATTTCTATTTTTATTAATTTTTTAAGGTACTCTGATTAAGTAAACTTAAACCTTAAATTTTTTAACTATAATATATACGTTATTTATAATTTAGTATTAACACGTGTGTGTAAATACTAAAATGTAAAATGTAAACATTTAAAAATGTTTTTATTTTGAAATAAGATCAGTTAAGTTATATGGACCATAATTTTACTATGTGAACGCAATGTTATTAACTTGTACTTGATTAAAAAACGCTAATAAATTATATTAACATCTAAAAGATTTATATTTATAATACAATTTTCTAATTTTTAATTTTTATTGTACTTTTGCCTTTTTAATATTTGCTAATATATCTAGCTATATATAAACGCTGGTTCATATTAGCGTTCTTCCTTCCCAGTGCACAGTGAGTCATAAATCACTATTATTAGACAAAATTAATTACTAAATATTTAATAATAGGGTTATATTCACGAAAGTTAGCATGGGTACTAACATGATGTCAGCGCCTCTTATGAAGTTGTTTTATTATTTATTTTTTTGCTATGGGTACCTAATTTTGCATAGCTGCAACCTATTCTTGTTTAAGTTGTTGTAAAACATATGAAAGAAATGTTTTATGAATTGTTTAATGTGCTGTTAATTTACGCAATTGTGAAATAACAGAGTCACTCAAAACAAGAATTCTATTAATCAGATCAGTATTTATTGCTCTTTTGGATGTTTCTCGGCTGATATTTTTGTGATAAGTTTTTAAAGCCTTTATTTCTTGTCTATGTAGCTTCATGAAAGCCTTACACAAGTAAATTTTGTTTTGATTGTGTGCTTTTTATCACCAAGTTCCTAAACACAGGGTTCTAAACTGCACAGATTCTTTTTAAATTATCAATTGTTATATCTTTCAAAGGAGCTAAAGCTAAATAATTCTCTACTGTTATATTTGCAGGATAACATTTTAACTTTGCATCTATTGTAAAGTAGAATAAATGTTATGTTCTTTATCCAAGGCTTTAATTATAGCTATATATATACATATCTCTTATAAAGGCTTATAAATAATAGACCTATCAGTATAACTTGTACCTCAATAAAAATCTTCGAAAAAATTTATTAAAAAATCATATTAAAACACAGCTGATTAACAATAACTTATTAAGTATGGATTTCGTCCAGATCATTTCTGCTTAACCAACCTTTTAACTGTAATTAATTATTGGACATAACCACTTGATAACAATATTCACATCGACAATATCTCAATTTTAAAAAAGCCATTGACAAAATTCCACATAAATTTCTTATTTCTAAACTTATAGCTTATGGTATAAATGGAATAATACTATATTGGATTAAAAACTTTCTGAAAAACCGTAGACAAAGAGCTGTTGTTAATATTAACTACTCAAATTGGGTATTCGTATAGTTGGCCAAGGCTCCATCCTTTCAGCTTTATTTTTTATTATATATGTCAACGATATCCCTGAATCAAATCAAAAGCTGACAACTGTAAAATATGACAACTGTAAAATACATGCTACTTCGTGCAGATCTTATTAACGTCTATAAATAGTGCAAAAATAACAATGGTGATAGAAGTCTATTTGAAATAGATAGCCAATTTATTACTCGTGGTCATGTATATAAACTAAAAAAATATTCTTCTCGATTACACCTATGTATGAACTTTTTTTCTTTAAGAATAACTAATAAATGGCAATTTTGATTATTCTTAGAGAAAAAAAGTTCACATTTTAATTCACACGCCCAGTATTGTCTACATAGCGCAAATAAAAAACCATTAAGTACTAATAATAGGTTGTTGCTATGCAAAACTAGATACCATAACAACCAAGTTAAAACATTTATAAAAACCGAATAGAGACTTATTAGGACAAGCAATCAATCAAAACTCTATTTTAACATCATAGAGTTTAGCTAAATATTAGACAGCACATGTCAATTATATCAATTATTAGTTATAGTGCAGCAAAAAAACTATAGTTTTTAAAAAAATGAAATCTTCTTTTCTAAATTGCAATCGTAAAAATATGTAATCTTATCAAAGTATTACTGAGATAATATGATAAAGAAATACATTAATAAGTTTTATAAGTTGCTCCCATTTGCTTAATGTGATCGTGTTTATTGTTTGCTGTAGGTAGTGGTACAATTGCAACTTCCTAATCATTGTTATTTATGCTGCGTTAATCTTTCTCATGTTGTCATTAGAACTAGAAATATACCATGTCTATACGTTTTATTTTGCTTCTCATCAAATACCACACTCGGATTCAATTCCGGTACCAAAGAAACCTGATACCTTGTGCAAAGAAATACACACAAATACAGAATACATAAGTGATGATTTATGCATTGAACATAAAAAAAAAACATTCTTCTGTTAGCATCAGTGATATTAATAATTATTTTCAATTCTTTAAACAAGAACACAATTTCACTTTATTTTATTAATTCTTTATACACGAGTGTTAAAGCTATATTGTCACATATCGGAAACTATTTGTTATCTGTTCTTGTTGTTTCTTATGCCTTTGAGATTCACAAAAAAAACAGCCATTACAAAGAAAAAGTATAGCCTTAGCAAGATGATTTAACTGTTAGGCTAAAGAATATTGTTAATCCTTTAATTGATTCACTAAACAAAATTGTTTAACTATCTTTACGTAAAAATTAGGTCTCATTATACAGTTTGTAAAAACGCTTGACAAAGATTGTGATGCAATGAACTTTTTAAGGATAAAATTGTTTTTAAAGTCAAAGATACACAAAATTGACTGCAATATAAAATAAAAATGTTTTGAAAGAAATATTTAAACTTTTCTAACACTTTACACTGCTGGTAAATCTAAATTTATTGTAATATATAGTGTGTGACAAAAAAAATATGCAACGCTATAACTGACGCGCGTTTGATACAAATCTCTTATATCAGTGGTGTTACTTCCAAAATAATGAATTAAAAAAAAATAGTTTTGATTTGTCCACTCTGAATGTTTAAATCCATACGTTTGAATGTTTGCTACACATTAGCCACCGCGTGGGCATAAAAAGTGGCAAGTTAGAAGCGATAACAGTAAAATTAGTGTTAAAAAATGTTTAGAAAAGATAAAAAAAGTTTAAAAAATAAATGTGGCTTATTGTTGACAGACATAAACCTGATTATTGTTGACAGACATAAACATGGTTATTGTTGACAGACATAAACCTGGTTATTGTTGACGGACATAAATCTGGTTATTGTTGACAGACATAAACCTGGTTATTGTTGACAGACATAAACTTGGCTTATTGTTGACAGACATACCCCTGGTTATGGCTGTACAAATAACAACATCTTAATTCATTTAGAAATTATTTTCTAAATTCAAAAATGAGCGGAGAGACTAAAGGATTAGACGTCGATTAATTAAAAATCTAATTGTTTCATTTAAAACAGTAACTTCTAACCATAAAACTGATTGTGTCATATTCGAAAAATTTTGTTATACAACAAAACCTTTGTATTTTTATTTATATTTGCGGTGTCTGTTACCGTGCTCAAAATTTAATGCATAGTTATGAAATTATTAAGTCGCGCATTCTTCCACCTGTTCACTTCTCAGAAGAACCAATAGAAGCTCAAAGATTTTTAAAGATTTTAAAATAAAAATTTTAATCTTTTACAATCATTATAAGCACCATAATAGGTAACAGTCGGGTATTTCTACAAATTTCTTAATATGCTCTAAAAACATCAGACCCTGTTATCAGTTCTCTAAGAAAACTGCCAGCAAAGAGTGTTAACAAGTTTCCAGCAGAGAATTTGAAATAACGGAAACACAATATTCTTATGAACTATTCTTTGTTTCAAATGATGAGTGTTTTGAATATTCAATGACGATTGGATATAAATTTTATTTATGCTTTCTTTTTAAATATACTATTTATTTTGTACATTTCTTTTATTATAAATACTATAAACTACAAAGTTATTAAACTAAGTAGTAGTAAGAGATTGCCGGTTCTGGGACATTTTCATTTTCAACCATATTTTCAACCATAAATTAATATTAATATAGGGTTCAATGTTAACCATATTGTATATAATTTATTTCAACAAGAAATAATTTTTTATTTTAAATAATCAATTTTTTAAAATAAGTGTTAATTTTTATTTCTTGTTATGAAATGTTACGAAAATTTCTTGCATGACGTCACAGGTCACGTGACTTTTTCTTGCTGTTTCTAAAAGCGTTATAAAATGAATCCATACTTTAATTCATGTAAATATTTTACTTCTTCAAGGTGACAATTCATAATTAAATATTTTACTACTTCAAGGTGACCATTCATTGCAGCAAAATCAATTGCAACATGAAAGCAATCATACCCTAATTCATATAAATACTTTACTACTTCAAGGTGACCATTTTCTGCAGCATAATAAATTGCCCATTCAGTACCTTTATACCCTAATTCATGTAAATATTTTACTACTTCAAGGTGACCATTCATTGCAGCGCAATTAATCGCACATTTGTCACATTTATACCCTAATTCATGTAAATATTTAACTATTTCAAGGTGACCCTTTATTGCAGCGTATTCAATTGCTTTTTCTGTTCCTTTATATCCTATAGAATGTAAATATTTTACTACTTCAAGGTCATCATTTCCTGCAGCATAATTAATTGCCCATTCAGAACCTTTATACCCTAATTCATGTAAATATTTTATTACTTCAAGGTGACCATTTCCTGCAGCATAATTAATTGCTTTTTCTGTTCCTTTATATCCTTTAGAATGTAAATATTTAACTACTTCAAGGCGACCATTTTGAGCAGCATAATCAAGTTTTGTACGTTTATTTTCTTGATTCATTCTTTTTATATACACAAGAAAATTATTTAACTCATTTTAAAAATTTTTTTTATTTTTTAATGCGCATGCGCTGGATTTGCTTACACATAGTAGAATTGTTTTAACAATATTATATAGGGTCTCTTATAGCGTATAATTCTAGTTCTGTTGCTACAAATGGAAGAGTACTATTTTGTATATAATTATCAAATATAGGCATAGCAGGTTGTCCATTATATACATAGCTCATATTTTGACATACAGGTGCCCAATAACCACCACTTGTATCTAGTGTAAGTACTGCTCCAGAATTCATCAAGCTTTTTGTAGTTGTCAAATTTAAACCGCAAAATCCTTGTCCTAATTCTGTACATCCAAATGGTGTATCTGTTGATATGAGTTGTGCAACATTTTGGTAAGCCATAGACATCATTGGAAGGAATGCTTGTTTAAATATAATACTATTCCATACACCATTAATTTTATATTTAAGTCTATATTTATAATAGCCATCTTTGTTTTTATACTGCCAATTAGTAAATAATGTACTATATACTTGAGCAGTAGATGGAGTAGAATTAAATACTCTATAGGCGCTATAATAATTGTTAAGAAATAAATATCCAGCAACTTGTCTAACTAATAATACTTCTCCAGAATTATATGGTGTTCCATAACCACCACCATATATATTATTCATTGCAATTGGTATTGCTTCAAAAAATTTGTTTGCTAAAAATATTTGTTGTCTTGAATCATAATGTACTCCATCGAAATTTGCACTCCTAAGACTGGGAGACATACCATTTAGAGATATACTAGCTGTATATGGAGAAAAATTTATAATATTTTTTAATGCATCTTGAACTTGAGTTGCTGTAGTTGAGTTTGCTTGAACCCATGAAGATAGCATTTGAAATGTAATGAATAGCATTTTATTTGCTTTTATTTGTGAGATTGGCAATGTATCAAATTGGCTTGATGAGTATGCAATATAATCTCTAATGGTTTGTATAAAATTCATTAGAATATATGCATAGTTATCACACCAACCGGTTTTAGAATCATCTTCTCCTTGATTCCAAGTCATACAGCAAAACTCTGCGTTATAATGTGATGAAATGTAATTGATTTTACGAGTTAAATTTTTAAAACCAGTTCCATACGGCATAAAATAATCATTACTGAAACTTTTAGCAGTTAGCATGCATGGAAGTATTATTAAACATTCATCAGGATCTATCATATTTAATGTATTCGCACCTTCAGCATCTTGCATTATAAGCCCAGCAAGTATTGAACCATATCCTGCCCAACAATTATTATCTGTTTCATTTACATCTAGCCTCAATGAACAAGGAAGTAACACATCATTTTGTCCATTACCCATCGCAAATTGGACTATTCGTCTGTTCATATAATTTACATTAGTTATTGATTGAGATAAACCCCATTCTCTACCAGCATATGTATTTGATTGACCAGCTATAATCAAAACTTTATATTTATGTTGATAAGGAATTAAGCGATCTACATAATTCTTTGTAGCTGCATCCTGTGTATTAGTAGGATTAGTTACATTAATCAATTTATTTGAATTCAAATTAATATTTGCATTCATACTATTAGTTCCATCTAATTTTAGACATGCACTACTAGAAGTTTGATTATTATCTACATAATACTTTGTAGCTGCATCTTGTGCATTAGTAGGATTAGCTACATTAATCAATTTATTTGAATTCAAATTAATATTTGCATTCATACTATTAGTTCCATCTAATTTTAGACATGCACTGCTAGAAGTTTGATTGTTATCTACATAATTTTTCGTAGCTGCATCTTGTGCATCTGTAGGATCAGCTACATTGATTAATTTATGTGAATTTAAATCAACATCAGTAGTGGCTGTATTGCCAACATTAATATTGATATTTAATCCATCTGTTGTGTAACCATATAATGAATTACTACCAGCTATATTCATACTCATTTTTTAAATACTATATTTTTTTAATTCAATATAATAAGTTTTCAATACTTTGAAAATCAACACCTTCATCAAGCTTTTTTAATACATAAAGGCACAAGTGTCCGCAAAAAGAAGTGTCTCCAAACTGAATCCTTTTACTATTATAATAAACAGGACTGTGTAAATATTGAACAAGTTCAACTGGAGGTGGTAGTGCATAAGAGTCAAAACTTAATTTTTCTTCTCCATCTTTATACCAACAAATCCAATGAAATCCATTCGTACTTGAATCTCCAGTATTTAATATTCCACATTCTTTGTTTTGTGTATTTTTAGGTAATTCATCTCTTACAAATACACCTCTAAAATTTTTAATTTTTAATTTTTTTGCTGCTTTTATTAACTGAAAGTTTGTTAAGGGTACATTTGGCAATATAATTCCTTCAACATTGATATGTTTGTCCATTTTTATTACTTTATTAGATTTTTTTAGATCTCTTTAGATATAAAAAATAACTTACCTGTGTGTTTGCCTGCCTGCTTGCCTGTTTATTTAAGTTTATAATGTCCATATGCTAATGTGTGAATACCATCTTCTTGAATTACTCTTTTATCATCTTCTGCACTCAATGCTATTTTGTTTATTTCTTCAGTATAAACATCATGACAATGAGATCTTATGACATTCATTTTTCTCATTTGATCTTTTCTATTCATAAGACAGTCTTTATAATCTTCATGTGTAATATAATTTTTTACTACATTTCTCTTTACTCCCTTACATCTCTTTTTATCTTCTTCATCTATTTTGTAGGAGTACAATTTTGATCTGAGTCCTATAAATTCTGTGATTTGTTTTCCTGCTGATTCATCTTTAAACATTCCTATTACTTTCTTATTTACACTTACTTTAAATCCATTTTGAACAGCTGGATGATCTTTATTAAATTCACTTGTATCAAATTTACTTTCAATATCATTAGAAATATCTTTATAAAAATCTTCTGTTTTTATTTCATAGATTAATGAATCTGTATCTGTATATAATAGTTTAGCTTTATCTTTATATTTATTTTTTATGTAATCATAATGAAACTCATACATTAGTGTTTTGCTCAAATCTAAAATACACATACCTAAGTAAATGGGTTTGTTATAAACTAGTTTTGTTCTTTTCATATGTATTGCAATTAAATTTTCATCAAATATTGTTCTACTTTCATAATTTGGTTTTGATACTAATTTAATAGCTTCTTCTCTTTTTGTAACTAATCTCACATCAACTCTGTTTTCAATGTTCTCCATTGTCTTTCCAAATACTGAGTTATTCATAAGTTTGAAAAAGTCTTTTTCAAAATCATTTGTTGCTTTAGTCCTTAGATCTGTATTTAATTTAATGTATTTACTCAACCATGCACTTTCTTCAAACTTTATTCCTCTATGAATTTTTGTTATTTGCATTCCTAGTCTTTCATAGAGTTTCAAGTTTTCATAGTGAAAGATATAATTTTTCTTATGATTTAAATTAGGTATTAATTTATCAACTTTGTCTATTTTTAATCTTTCAGGAGCTAGAGGATAATCATTATGAACATCATGTAAATGTTCAGGATATTCTAAATCTACATCTAATATGCAAGAAGTAGATTTCCAATTTTTTAATTCTTCATCATTCATCCATTCAAACCCATGTGTAGGAAGGGGTTTGCTCATTGCCCATCCATATAAATTGTTAGCATCTAGATACTGTATGTAAGTAGATTCTTTACTTTCATCATAATTTTCCATATATTTATTGTTAGCAGTTCCTAACCTGTTGGAAACCATACTAATTCCACCTCTTATTCCTTCCTTTATCATTAAGATCATATCATAATCACTTAATAATTCTAATTTTACTTCTGTTATTTTCAACGCAGCATCCCAAGCTAATCCTGGTGCTGTATAGTACCAAGCAGGATCTAATTTGTTATTGTTAAAACAGACATCTCTAAAATTTTCAAAGACATCAGCTAGTAATAATACATCAGATTCGTTATATAAATTATGGTAATCTCTAAATGTTTTACATTGAAACTTTTCCCATACAGTTTGAGCATGTAAATAATCTTCATCACTTATTCCTTCATCGTTTAGTTTTGAATAAAATGATTCTTTTGGTGGTAGTTGTGTTTCATTTAATTTATCAATAGAGTCAACCCATTCATAAGGATAAACACCTTTTCTTAACAATAAATTGAGTTCATTTCCAGAATAGTATCTACTAATATTTTTACATTGATCTTTTGACAAATTTTTAGTTAAACTATCTAAACTAGCAGCCATAAATTTAAAACTATCTAGAAAACGTAGATACAGTTTAACTTCAACTTTTTTACCTTCTCTATTCATAAATTCATTTACTTTAAGTTCTTTAGAAAAGCTGATATATTTTTCTTCATTGTTGGGTATACAATTTATTTTTCCTCCTTCTGACAATTTCTTTATGAACAAGTGAGAATCATAACCAGATAAATTGTGAAATAGTACTGGAATGAATTTTGGAATTTTAAATTGTAAATTACAATCACTATGTGCAGCGCCTCTATATTTTCCAGTAATATGACAATGATCTCGTACTCTATCTTCATTAAGATCTTTTTCACAAATATGACATATTTTTGCATTATCAAAATTATTTTTGTCTTTCATAGTAAATATCATCTTTTTTAGAAATTTTAAATAATCGTTGTAAATCTTTTTTACATCCTCTTCAAGCATATTAACAAATTTTTGTGCTACATCTTCATCTTCATTACTTGCAGTGAATGTAACTAGTTTACTTTGATATACACTTTCATCAAAGCATTTAATATAGTAACAAAATGAACTAGGTGTATGCTTTTGGTACTGCTTTGTATAAGATTCATTTGGATTAGGTGTACAAGTGTTGATTGGTTTTATAAAACTTTCAAAGTCTGCATAGACTACAAATGGCACTCTCATAGATTTTTTAAAATGATTAAGTTTAATCATTGTATTTGGTTTTGGAAGTTCAATTCGTACTGAA